TTCAAAACTCTCACTTCTGCTACCAGACTACCACTTCTTTGAAGACCAGGTATATTTTGATTAAGTTTGGTAGATTTCACTGAGCCTAGCTTGCTATTTTTGCTCTAGTATGTATACACTTAAAAATAACATTACAAAATAGAATATCTCAAATCAGCAATGTAATGTTTATTTCATATGATTAAACTTGTTCCCATGATCTTCGGGTCTTGTTAGCTCTTTAAAACAAGTTCATTCTTAGTTAATACCTCCCAAACTGTTTTAAAATTGAGAATATAAAGAAAACCCAGTTTTAAACATAAGTTTTGGGGCACCTGGGTGGCTCAGTTGTTAAGTGTCTGCCTTCGGCTCAGGTCATGATCCCAGGGTCCTGGGATCGAGCCCCGCATGGGGCTCCCTGTTCAGCAGGAAGTCTGCTTCCCCGTCTCCTATTCCCCCTGCTTGTGTTCCTTCTCTCACTGTCTCTCTCTGTATCAAATAAATAAAATCTTTAAAAAAAAAAAACAAAAACCCAAAAAAACAACTATAAGTTTCTCTTAAAAGTCCTTTGGAGGAAGAAATATCAGCTAGAGAAGGAATGGAACGGACTTGATATCTGCATAGACATCAGCCTTAGATTATGATATTTAGCACAATTCTTTTCAATAATATGGCATTATTTAACTTCCAGATTATTTGAATAAATTAGCATTGTCTTGGGAACACTCGGCCTTCACACAAACACTTACATAAAAATTGTGTCCACATTTCATGGGAGTATTACCCTTATCAACTCTTATTCACCTCTTTGGGTATATAGAAGATACAACTCTCAATTTCTTAAAACAATGTCCAAAGAGACGACAGTTTTTCCTTGGGAGCATATACACTACTGGAAGCATAAGTTATTTCAGAAACATCTTCACCTTTCTAAAAAAAAGTTGATCTCAGTGGAAAAGGAATTCTTCACTCTATCCAATATGGCTGTATATCATCACGAGATTAATATATCTTGAACTGTTTTAACAAAGGATAATCACAGAAACCTGAGTAGGATCTCAAAAACAGTGGGGAAAGTGCCAAATACGTAATGTCTAATACTGTAACATAAATGCTTTAAAGATTCTTCATTTTTATGGATGTCACAGACACATGTGTTAAGATGCCTCCTGGAAAATGTGAATAATTATCTGTAAGAGATGTACTAGGGTCATTAAAACCTAATAATAATAATACGTAAAACACTGTAACCATGTATTTGCTAAGTGTTTTTTCAAGGATATAGCTGAAATGTTTACATAAATATATATCTTTATAATATGAAAAACACTACATAAAAATCAATTTCCCTATCTCATCTAAAAATATAAAATATGTCTAGACACACTTAATGCCATACGTCAATAGCTCTTCTTGAATTCCCTGCTTTGCAATCAATAGTTCTCCAACCATTAGCGAATACGCTCCATGACTCATCAGAAATTATACACGAAGTTAATGGCGATCAGTGCTCCCCCTCACACTCCATACATGCATGGACACTAATGGCGGTTACGCCTCATACAGCAGGAGACAGATTCAAGATGGCACCTAGCCAGGAGGTCACTCTTCCAAGCTCCTCTATAAAAGCTGCCCTCCCCCCAAAAAAGAACCCACTATATCCACCCTGTCCTATATCCTTAGCAGCCTTCAAGGAAGTAAAAGTAAGCATGCTTTATATGGGTAGAAAAGAACTGCATTTTTTCAGCATAACACTCACTGTGTATGGCAAAATGTACTTTGGTTATGAAAATATCTGAGGGGAATGTTTCCAGGACCTCTGCCATTGTGCTTTGTTTGCTAGTCAGATGCTTTCTCAAGAATGTGTTCAAATTATAAAGACAATTATCTCCGTGTATAGAAATCTTTCAAAAACCATACTACCACAGAAACCTATTTTTACCTTTCTTAACATTCAAAACAAGGCCTCATAGCCTACAAGTGAAAATCTCATTTTTGTGAATTTATTAATCTTTGATTAACATGTGGTCAGGAGTTTGTTTGGATTTACTTGATGTTTTTATTTTCTAAGGAAGGAAAGTCATAGGAAAGGAAAATACGTATTAAGCATTTGAGGATAATTGCTATTTACCAAAAACTCTATTTTAAAATAAATTTTAGTGACTCGTTTATGTTTGGAAACTTCAGGACAATGATAACTATAGTGTCTCTAAAATGTTCCTAAGTAGCAATCATACTCTATTCTGGCCTTTGAGAGGTGTTAAAACTCATCCCCTAATTATAAGCCTTTTCTCTCTTATTACTACCTCACCATTAAATCTCTAAACTAAATAGTAGTTTTGAGGAAATAAAAATAGATGTTAGGTAGTGTGTTTTCTCAAATTTTGGTTACAATGGATAAGAAAGACAAGGTACTTCTATGTATAATAAACTTCTTTAGCTTGTAAAAATAAAAGTCAATTTTATTATATTTTAACCAGCAAACTCTTTCAGCTTTCTCTCAGAATGCTGCTTCCCTGCTTTGTTCTAGAACAGCACTACCCAATGGAAATACAACACAAGCCACATTTGTTATTTTAGGTGTTCTAGTAGTCATATTTTTAAAAAGGGAAAAGAAGCAGGTGAAATTAATCTAACAGTATATTCTATTGAAACCAATATATCCAAAATATTAGCATTGCAACATATAATCCATATAAAAATATTAATCAGATGTTTTACATTCTTCCCTTCCTACAAAGTTTTCCAAATCTAGAATGTATTTTATACTTAACTAGCCACATTTCAAATGCTCAACAGCCCCATGTGGCTAGTGGCTTCTGCGCTGGACGGCACATTCTAGATTTCCAAAAATATGAAGCTTTTTGGCCTAAAAGGCCACCACTTCAAAATCTTCCCATGTAACATCCTCTATAATCAGTATTGCTGCTGGGATTTTATATTAAGACAAACATTTAAGTGAATACATTTCATTTTCTTCCTCCACTTCCTCCACCCCAGTGACCTATTCTCTTCAGCTTCTTCTAAGTGAGATCTGGGATGTTCTCTAACCTGTGCATCCTCCTCACCAAGCAGAAAACCAGAAGGTGAAGCAAGGCTATTCTCTCTCAGTTTCCATAAATAGATATATCAAATACAGGCCTAATGAACCACAACAGGGATAAATGCAAGGGCGATTTTTTTGCTTACGATGAAAATAAGAAAGAAGTTTTTTATAATAAAGTAACACACCCTTACTCAATGAGAAAATGATTTTACTCCCCGCCCCCACCGACCCCAGGAGAAACCTTGGGATATTCTTTTCTTGATCTAGAACAGAACCCAGTGCTTCATTTCATAGGAATTCTGTGCCCAGAGGAAGAACAGAATGTTGGAAACAAAATTTAACGAATTCAACTTGGAGTCTAAGTTTGTCTCAAATGTGGAAACGTAAACACAAGCAATAATATTTTAAACCATAAAACACTTTGGATTCTCCACTGGCATGGCTGCATAGAGTATCACACTTGATGTGTGTCTGCACACAAATTTGTTCTTAGTTACATGAGAAAAAAATTAAACTAGGCCCATGTGAGCTTTTCTGAGTCTCTTAGTAATAATAAAACCCGATTATTATGTCTTAAGTGACACTGTAATTATAGACGGATGGATGAACAGGTTTTCTGGTGCTGACCCAACCTGTTCCCTAAAACACAAAAGGCAACTTTTGTAGTCCTCACTGAAGAAACCCCCCATTAAACAATTAAAACTAAAAACTAATGTCTACATTTTGAAAGAAGGCCAACAAAAAAAAAAAAAAAAAAAATTCACCCCCATGCAAATGGATGAAAGTCAGGACACTGTAGGTTTCCTAAAAAACAGTTTTGAGCTGTAGTTGTCACCGACTTTAAGAAAGCAAAGATATAAGTGACAACAATGTGCTTTCTCAGGCTACAAAAGAACTTTATTCGGTGTCTCTGGCTTTAACTCTACATCTAAGACGTTCTAAGTATTGAAACTAAGTATTCTTTAGATGAATTTTACAGTCGTTGAACTTTCATTTTAACCTGCCTTAGTGATAATAGTTTATCTCAACAGCACGACAAGGAGAAACACCAACGCTCTCAGGAACGCACACAGATAACACGGAGTGGATCACTTATGCTGGTATAGAATAGTTAGGTCCTAAATACCTCTGTGGATAAACAGACACCGTGTTCAAACCCAGGAGGGAGGAACATCGTGTCCACTGGTGTAGTATTTCAAAGCGCCTTGCAGAGGGCCTGCAAATCCAGAGGCATTAATTATGACTTCTCTCTCGGTTTATTAATTTGTTTAAGAAATTCCTCAGAGTACGACAGAGTTTACCATCCGTTTGCTATCGCCCGCGCCGGTGGGCACACAAAGTAAAGACAGTGGCAATAACCTGTCTGGCAGCTTCTTACTCCGTCTTAATCCTAGGCAAGCACACTCCACGGAAATGCACCACCAAATCCCAGCAGCCGTATATTCTCCCGGCCGGGGAGAGACTTAAAAACACAACCACTCTTCTAGCAACACCCGGGTAGTTGTAAAGTGCTGTGAGAGGGGCAAGCATAAGCTCCACCATATACCTGCTCGTGTTACAGGCTCTGGAATCAAAGTATTCTCACATGACACATTACTACCAATAACAGATTCCGGCTCCGTTTAAAAAAAAAAAAAAAAAAAGTGCAGGGGTGGGGGGGCACATATTTGTCCTGCTTTTGTCTAAAAACCAGAACCCAAGTACTAACTACTTTCCAGTCTTTTCAACCTTTCGTGAAAGCAATTCAATCAACCAACTGCGGCTCCACCCAGAGAGCGTCTGTACTTACTTTCTTACAGTTTTTGAGTGACGCACTACAAAACGATGAAGAAAAAAAAAGAGAGAGAGAGAGAGAGAGGAGCCCTCTTATGCAGGGCGTCTTCCGCCCTGTAAACTTGGCAAAAGGCAAACTGGACTGAAATACAGCACTCTCCATATAAGGAAGGCCAGCTAAACATGTCATGCGTAATTTATGGGTAGCAGGCAGAGAATTAACCTTTGCGTGCACATATTTGGCCCAGATGAAAACCGGGCTGGACGGCAGCCCCCGGGGCCAGGGATGCGGGATCTCTTGGGAGAAACCGCGGCTCGCGTCCGATGGACTCGCATCTCCGCCTGACGAAGGTCATTAAGTTGTAAGTACACTTCCACGCACCTGTTTCTTTCATTTCCCCCCTCTTTCTCTCTCTCTCTCTCTGTCTAGGCTGCCAAACTGGAAGCTGGCTGCGCTCTGACAGTGTCCGCAGCGCCCGGGGAAGGGCTGCTCGGAGCTGGGCTGCAGCTGCAACCTCCCGCTCTCCCCCTAGCTCGCGAGGGTGTGCGATAGGAAACCATCCACCGTGGCCAGCCGGCCTCTGCCGCTACGAGACGCAGCCGGCCGAAGCCTCCTCTCACTTCCTCCTCCAGCCACGTACAGCCCCGAAAGAGTACAAACAATGCAGAGCAGCAGAGCAGCGCAAGGAAACGGCGAAAATGGAAACTTACCTCTCACATTTTTTTTCAGAGGCAGCGCGACTGCCGACCGAGTGCCCAAGGCATTGTGGGAGTCATGATTCCAAGAGGCCCGCGATTTAAAATTGAACTTGTCAGTTCCCGGTCACGGGAGCATTGTGAGCGCCACAACTCATTCAGCTGCAGTGAAAAGGCTGTTGCATGTCGCTGTGCAGCCTCTTATCGCCGAGGTCTGGTTTCCGCTGCCGCTGCTGCGCAGCCCCTCCCCCGCCAGCCCAGCCCCACCAGGAAGCCCGGGGCGGACTCGTCGAGCTCCCGGACGCACGCGGCGGCGAAAAAACGCTCTCCAACTTTCCGCCGCCCTCCCGCCCTCGCCCGGGCCGCGCTGGCGCCCCGCAACCGAACAAAGTCCGCAGGGGGCGGTCGTTGCCGCTCGCGGGTCGGCGCCGGGAGCACAAGGAAACCGGAGCCGGCGCTGGCGAGGTGCATCCCCGCAGCCAGCCGGTGGTATCTTCCATCTTACACGTTCAACATTGTAACAGCCGAGCTATAGTGCGAACGGGACGCACCCCTACTACTTTCTGCTCCTTCCGACCAGCCGGGCGGACACATAGGTTCGTTTTTTAAAGAGGCCGGCGGATGAGGCTTTTTGCAAGGAAGCCGGCAAGGTTAGGTTGAAGGTGAGAATCAGAGCGGCAGAAAACGGCAGGGATCGGATGGGGCTGCCGCCTTAAAATGCACCACACCGTTTTGGAACCTGGATGGCTCACAGGCGGGAAAAACATCTGCAAGACTGCCAGTGTGTCTCTTCCTCAAGTAGCAGGGTGTCCACAGTTTTGCAGTTCTTTAGTAAAACTGACTGTCACGCAAGCACAAAAAACTCCCCCTGCAGCTTCCAGGCTAGCTTGTAAATAATATTTGGAATGTAAAATCCCCTTTCTTCCCAACTCTGCATTACATGATTTATAGGAAGCAGAGACCCTTCTCTGAAAATAAAATACCATTTTCTGAAATACTGGAATATTCCAAGGCAACTAGGTCATATTATTGTTGGAGCAACACAGACCACAGCCCCAAATCATAATTCATTGGGTGTTATAAGATGCAACTTGGCTTCACTTTGAATGGAAAGAATTCTGGACTAAAGTGATGTGATGATGTTTTGGAGATTTGGGGGCAGAATTTCCTTTGAATTTAAGGAATTTTGATAACTTGTTCAATAATGATTCTAATTTAAAACATCGGTTCCATGTTTTGGACAAAATTTGGAATGAAGTGGTGGATATGGTGCCATGTTCCTCCTACAACTTTGTTGTGTTAAAGAGGGTGGCGCCGGCTTAAGAAGGAAAAGGGAAAACATCGTGAAAGGTGCTAAAGTTCAGGAGTAAGAGGCATTAATAACAGACTTGAGTTCTGACCCTTGGCTAGATCCACAAAACAGTTAATATTGTGCACTGCCGCCTTCCATAACAAATAAATTAATTAATGGCCCTACTTCTCAGTGTTAATCATTGAAAAGTACCCAAGTGCACACACAGTTGAAGCAAACTAAAAAGGACACTGACGCTTTCTCAGAGAACAGGAATGGGCGTTCTCTATCTGCCAATTAGTAGCTATGAGGAATGCCTTTTTCTTAATTCAGCATTCATTTCAACAACTACATCGAACGCCTGCTATGCCAGAGATACGAGAATGGGTAACACAGCCCCTACCCTAGAGGATAATACTCCTGCTAGGGAGAAGACAAATAAACCAATTAACTCTGCCTCAGGGATAAATGCTAAAATGGTGTTGGCAAGCCAAAGGGGGCCTGAGGAGGGTTAGGGAAGGCTTCCTGGAGGAGTTATTTTCAACAGGTGCCTTGAAAAGTGTATAGCAATTAACAAGATAAGATGGAAAGGGAGTTGAGTCTGGTCAAGTGGGAGAAAAGAGCATGGCAAATACAACGGACCTGCCAACTTTCGTGTTAGAAGTGAGGGAAGGATAAGTGTAGGGGAGTGGCAGGAGATGAGCTAAAAGTAGGTCTGTTTTAATCCAAGGAGCCTCAGCTTTAGTCTGAAAACCATGATGAACTGGAAGAGTTTACACAGCAAGGGGATAGGTAGAGTTTGGACTTGTATTTCAGAAAGATCCTGTGGCAGCAGCTTGAGGGTGAATGGGAGTGTGGGGTGGTGGCCCATAGAAGAAGGGTGAATGGGTGTGGACAGACTGGAAAAATGACTCATGCAGGGAATGAGGAAGGGAGGAACCTTGGGAAGCTCCCAAATCCCTGGCTTAGCCTACTGGATTGTTTGCTACTTGCCTTTTAATGTCTTCAATTTGCCTTTCATTCTCCATGACAACGGACCCTGACTTCTGAGCTGGGCCACCTATGCGTCTGCTAGCAGGTTGGTGCCCTAGCCGGCTTCCACGCACCTCTCAGAATGTCCAATGAACCGCTAAGGCCTAATCCCCGTTGTAGGAATTTATTTTCAATTGTTCTCAGACCCCTGTAGACTTCCAAGTTACAACTTTGGTGTTCTTTTTTCTTGTGGGTTAGAAAGTTTGCTGTTTGGAGCAACGTGGTGAAAAGCAGGACTTTGAACCTGTGTATGGTGCAAGAGGGGAAATTATTTTTCCAGTTCAGCACTGGAGGAGGGGGGAAGTTCTGGGAACAAAAGAGAAATTGAAACTGAGACAGATTTTCTGCTCCACCGAACAGATTACAAAGAAATACAAGAAAGACCCTTGAATGTTGGAAACAGTAAAATAAACATCCTCGTAAATGACAAAGAAGAGAAAAAAAATGTTATTTTATGTTAGATAAAAGAAAAAGGGATGCTTAAGAAAAACTCCTATAAAATAATGGTCAATCTAGGATTCAAAAATGAATCAAAATGAATTGTGATATAAAACTAGTTTGCCACGGATTTAGCTTAATTTATTATTATTGATAATACTATAACATGAGTAATGACGCTGAAAATTTTGAAGCATTGTAACAAACACCAGATCATATGTTAAAAATATTAAACCAGATTGCCAGCTTTCAGCTACCAGTAGCATTCTGACTGCGTTTTAAATTATGGAAATTATTAAAAAAATCATTAGTAATAAAAAGTAAATAGTTTCCCATTTAGAATACCACTGATATTCCCTCAGTGCCAGGAAAGCATGAGCAGTATGGTTTCTTTTGCTTCTGTGAAGTGTACTTAGAGTTCATGGGCTCATGAGTGAGTAGATCCATAAGTACAAAAAGAAGGTCATTTGTGGGTGGAGAGGGAAATTAGAGAAAACAATTTCAGATGAAATAAAAACACATTTTCAGATAAAGGAAAGAATGTTCACTGCAGGTTCCTGAAATATTTCAGACCATTCAAGTTTTAATTATACCAATGAATCCCAATAGAAATGCAGTTAAGGAGTATGGTTTTTAGAGATAATATCAACTAGCTGGTTTACCAGTAATACAGATAAAGGAAATGGTAGCATTTATCTTTTTCACCCAACTGGGAGTCTTTAAGGCACCTGTGTGAGTGTGTGAGTGTGTGTATGAATTGTTATCTTCCTTGTCCTACAAACCGCATTTATAGCTCAGTAAGTTCTCACTGCCTCCCAGATGTAATTTGGCTTTCCTGGCAAAACAAACAAACAAACAAACAAAAAACTCAGTGAAAACATCCCAAGAAGGTATGCTTTTTAAAAGTCAAAATATGAAAAGGTCTGGAATCACTGATCTAGGAATGTTGTTTTTATTATACCAGGATAAAAATAATCCATTGCAGGAGAGTGCCAAAACAGACCCAGATGTAGATCTTTTGCTTTCTAGTCCATGTTTAAATACATATGGTTGAGAGAAGAAGCTTCTGGAAGGCAGGGAAGAGTTGGAAACGTTTTGGTATGGAGAATCCATTTTAAGCAGATACATTAAATGTGTCTCTATTAACTTTCACAGTGGAGGAGGGAGGCACTCTTCTATAGCCTGGATTCAAACTTGTTTAGGTATCTGAATAAATATACTGATAGAGTCAGATGATTTTAGTTTACCTTCAAGGACCTTATATATTTCACACACCAAGTTTTTAAAATCATAGCCAGTATTTAAATATAAATAACTTATATTCTATTATGTATTGTGTATTATGTATATATAATATGCTATATAATACAACACATTGTATGTATAATTTTTGTGCCACTTAATGTATAAACCGCTTAAGTGTGAAAATATTATGTAAAATCAACATATTTGTCTTAAGATGTTTATAAAGATTAAAACTGAGTTACAAATATTTGGACATATCTCAAGCTATTTTAACTAAAGCTTGAATCTAAATCAATATAATTATTTTGACATCTGGCAATAGGGCAATATAAAACATACATTTCAGAATTAAAAGTTTAGAACCACAGAATTTTAGTTGGGAATGGAGTGTTGGAGACTATCTGGCCCTGTTCCTTTGTTAGACCAGAAAACATTGTATAAGTAAATTGGCACCGTGACAGAACAGAACTGGCATCAATGTCTTCTGACTCTCCTGGGCCATTTATTGTCATTGCTTTTCTTAAAAACACTGGGGGCAACAAGAAACTCTAATATAGACATAAACGTTCCCCAAGTTTAATGTAAAGAAGGGCCACCCAAGATTTTCAGTATAGTTCTTTATTCCTCTATTTTTTCTTTCCTTTTTTCTTCTTCTTCCCACTTTCCCCCTTCTTCCATCCTTCTTCCTATCAGAAAATACTCTTCACATAATCACTCTGTTCCATATTTCACAAATGTTTATTGAGCATCCACTGTGCTAAGTCCTGTTCTGGGTAGTAGAGTTTGAGATAGGAGCACAGCCCAAACACTTCCCTCAAGGAATTTACAGGCTGCTAGGAGGAGCCAGGCACTACACAAGGAAAGCATAAACATAAAGAAACAGGTAAACATGGGAAGCAATTTCAGATGGCAGTAAGCGCTGTGAAATAGGAGAAAGCAGGTTAGCGGGACTGGGGAGGGAGGGTGTGTGTTCAAGGGCATGGTCAAGGACTGAGGTAGTCCGAGATCAGCAGAGTCCTCAAGGAGAGGCAGAACACTGGCGGAAAGACCATTCAAAGGAGTGGGAACTAGAGGTCTTGAACCTTGAATCCCGATTTCACACTAGAGCTAGGAGTCCAATGGTGAATAAAAACAAACAGGACACCTAACTTCAAGGAGCCTACAGTCAAGTGAGAAAAACAATGAATCCTAATCAAATGAATCACACTCAAAATGTACAACTGCAGTCATTAGACTTGTGGTCAGTGGGAACTAGCCAAGTGTTTGGTTGTATTAGAGGTGGAGGATGGCACGCGATCCAGATTTGGTTTTCACAGATATAACTAGAGTACTCTCTTGACTGTTAGTGTGGAGGCTAATGGTCTAGTCCCAGAACAGAATGCAGGAGTTGCACCAAAAAGAGTGGGCTCTGCCAGGAGGGCAAGGGGCAGCAAATGGCTGGAGGCCAGCAGAAAACCCTTAACAGTGAGATACAGTGAACATTAGAATCTTACATCTGAGAACTGAAGAGAATCTGTAAGGTGACCACCTCCATGCCTTGAGGGAAGTGAGATATTTGGGGGGGATACACACACACTTGCACACACTTTCTTTCTTTCTTGAAGTCAACACAGTATAGAAAATTCAAAATGCCTGAAAACAGAATATTTTTTATATAAATCAGCAGTGATTCCAATTCCCAGAGATAGTCACTGGTCATACTACAGTTTATATTCTTCCAGGTTTTTCTCAACACATTTTTACATAGCTGACATTGTACTTACTATATATGCAATTTTGTGTTCTGTTTTCTTTCCCACTTAATCTCATAGTATGACTTTATAAAACAAATGGCATCTCTCATGTCATTCATTTGAACTTTCATTTATCACATGAGGTTATGGGGACTGGACAATTGACCCTTGACCAAAACCTCGCAGCTAATGAGGGGCCAAGACTCCTGACCCACAGTGTAGTGTTTCACAACCTATAACCCAGATCCTGAATTAATGTGTCTAATATGTAGTATATTGACATTCTACCTGGGATATACACATTTTTTTAATAAGAACTGTCACTAAGGAAAAGAAAATGTACAGTAATGGTCTTTTAATAAATAAAGCAGTTACAAAAATAAATACAGGGATGCCTGGGTGGCTCAGTCGGTTAAGCGTCTGCCTTCGGCTCAGGTCATGATCCCAGGGCGCTGGGATCAAGTCCTGCATCGGGCTCCCTGCTGAGCGGGGAGCCTGCTTCTTCTGCCTCTGTCTGCTGCTTCTCCTGCTTGTGCGCTTGTGCTCTCTCTCTGACAAATAAATAAAATCTTAAAAAAAAAAAAAAAAAGATGAATGACATACAATTTGAATTTTCCTTTCTTATTTGGGACACTGAGAAGCAATCTTCCTCTATTTGCTAACAGAGTTATTACAAAATAAGCAAGCAAAAATTTATGTGACATAATGCTATATAAAGATGTAAGAACTCAGGAGTGTGAATTAAGGCAGTCATTTTGGGAAGTAACTTGGTATTATCTGGAAAGGCTGAAAAAGAAAATTTTCTATGACACAGCAATTCCAGCCCAGAAAATACACCCTAAAGAAACAAAGGGTGCCTGGGTGGCTCAGTCATTAAGCATCTGCCTTTGGCTCAGGTCATGATCCCAACGTCCTGGGATCAAGTCCCACATTGGGCTCCCTGCTCGGCGATGACAAGCCTGCTTCTCCGTCTCCCTCTGCCTGCCGCTCCCCCTGCTTGTGGTCTCTCTCTCTGACAAAGAAATAAATAAAATATTTTAAAAAATTTAAAAATAAATAACAATAGATATGAAACAGGTAGCCAAGAAGCCAAAGTGGACGTATTACCTATGCATGTTTATAGTATATAATTATATGTAATATTATGAAATGCTTTCTACCATCTCATAAAATTGTGTGTTGTGGCTTAGCCCAGAATCCCCTGTAATCTTTTAAAAATAGTATCTAATAGGTCTTATAGTATAAATGTTATAGTGTAACTCTTTAT